GGTGGTTGGTGGTTGGTGGTTGGTGGTTGGTGGTTGGTGGTTGGTGGTTGGTGGTTGGTGGTTGGTGGTTGGTGGTTGGTGGTTGGTGGTTGGTGGTTGGTGGTTGGTGGTTGGTGGTTGGTGGTGGTGTTGGTGTTGGTGTTGGTGTTGTTGTTGTTGTTGTTGTCGTTGCTGGTGGTGGTGCTGCTGCTGCTACTGCTGTTGTTGTTGCTGTTGTTTAAGCCAGGTCCTTTAAAGCTTTTTGTAGAACTGTGGGCGCCCTTGGAATGGGGCATGTCTGGCACCAATTCGGCCTCCACAACTGCTTTCAGATGTTTCAAGGTCTATCGGCCTCAGCGGGTGGAGGCGCCCAGGCGCGGGCCTCGTGTTCAGAGGCCTCCTGGGAGAGTGATCTGTGGAGACAACGGGGAGACGGACACATTTAGGACATGCCTACTTGCGACTTGTTCATTTTGATAACTTAGGACTCTGTGAATCATTCTTGCGTTTTAGGAGGCCCCTAGAGCAGTACGGTGTCGTTGTCATATGTATCTTTGGATTCATGTTTTCCACATCTCCAGATGTGGAGATCTTGACACGTGCAGCAGCCACCGAGGCAGGCCCAACTCGAGAGCTTGGGGGCTGCTTTGTTACAACATGAGAAGTTGAGGGATGTCAGATTCGCCCAGATTCCCCTAAAAACTCACCATCCAATGGATGAATTGGCCTTTTTGTCAGGTCAGCTGTTAGGTCCGTCCGCTGACGAGAATCGGAAAGAAAGTAAGTCTTTGGAAGGTGAGGGAAATGGTGGCGTGACCGCATGACCATGATTTGTCCATGTTCATCCATTTTCTTCTGTTGTCCTGCGGTGCAGTTTGAAAGAAGGATACGTTTTAAAAAAATTGTAATAGAGCTACTTGAACAATGCCCAAGTCTTGGAGACGATTCCTCCCAGCTCATCCCCGCCCAGCTCCCGAAGAGGAACGCAGCTTTTCTCAGCTCGCTTGCTTTTGCAGGGGCTGCCCCCACTGTCTCGAGATCTTTCGTGCTTGAGAGTGGGATGCACGAGTGGATGCCATGCTCTGAATGCCAAGGTTCCCAGATTGCACATACCCTTTGTTATTAGTAGCTTCTTGTTCCTAGTAGTAATGCCAGGAGCTACTAGTAGCGTCCTTGCTCCTAGTAGCGATGCCCTTTGTTCCTAGCTTCTTGTTACTAGTAGCAAGAATGCTCCTAGTAGTAATGCCCTTGTTACTAGTAGCGATGTCCTTTGTTCCTAGCAGCTTCTTGTTAATTACTAACTTTCCCAGATCGCTGAAACAGGGATGTCACACTCAGTCGCCCAGCGCCGCTACTACTGGCCAGTGCCGGGTCCCAAGAAAATAAGGAGTCTTGAACTGATGGCCTTGGTTTACCCCATATCCCAAGGAACAAAAAACGGAGAATGACGATTGCAAAGTGCATTGATGGGGTGCTGGTGTTCCTGTGTCAAGAGTAAATTGCAAGGAAATCATCGTTGCTTGAAAGTGTCCAGCTGATTGCAAACGAAGTGTGCCTCTTCTGTAGCCTTGTTTTTTAAATCTAAAACTGGATGCCTAGTTTTCAGAAGCTGAGTTGGCGTCCAACTGGTGTCCTGCGCAATTCTGCGCTAGAGGAGCGGCAAATGACACGGAGTCGTGGTCGCACGCCGGCGGCGTTTTTTGTGGTGGAACGAACAGCCCTCAAAATCACGCAGAAACCATCAACCGGTGTTGTGACCAATACACTTGAGCATTTATATACTTAAGTAGTCTGACCCTTGCGCCACTTGTTCGAGGCTTTCGAGTAAAATTGACTGGATGGGCTCTTTGTTGGCCATTTGCCGCTTCACATCCGCCCACATCGCTTTGAAACTGACCGCACATGCTGCTCAGTGAGCTCCCCCCAAAACTCCCGATTAACTGAATGGGTCAGCCAGGTGTGTCTGCCTTTCCACTGAGCTCCTGAATGGGTCGGGTGACAAAGGGAGCGCAGACTCGGCACGTGAAATTTGTTGTCTCTGTAATTAGAAGGTTCTCAGACTTCCAACTGCGTCAGCGTTTGCTGGACTGCACACTATTTAAATTGAAACTGCCTGAACCTGCAACTTCTCTGATTCCTCATTTGAGCATCCTGCTTGCAAATGATTGGACAGATCTATTAGCAGTAGCACATCGAATGCGGACTAGGTCCTCTCAACTTTGTTGCTATTCTCGTTCTTCGAGTGCTGTCCAGTGTTAGCCCACTCCGTTATTTGGATGTCAAAGTGTACGGATAACACAATCTAGACTAGACAGCCTTCTCAGAAACCGTTTTGTGAAGAATGGTGCTACTAAAAACACACGGGAGGTAGATGTGTCAAACCTTTTGTGTAACTCTTATTGATTCTTTTGCTCAGAGTACCCAAATGCAGAAAAAAAACCATTGCAGGTCAGAATGCCACCTGGAAGGTCCATGTCCAGGTCGGATACTGCCTAAACAGGAGGGAAGCACTCCAGTGGCCCAAATAAGTGCTTTGAACACAATTCCAACTCCCATCTTTACAGAGATTGTCCCCACTCCTTGGATGAGGGGGGCGCATTTAAGACCTTTCTTGGGTGTTTCGCTGCCTTACTTGAGCCGAAAACGTGGCATTCTGAGCGTTCTGTACAAGTACGCCTCTGTGGCCAACCAAGTCAGTCTGGCCGCAAAAGGTCGCTGTCGCAGCGAAGCCTCTTTCAAAGGTACCCCTCGTCCTCGGAGATTCGACGAACCAAATTGATCTTTCTTTCACCAAAGAAGAGATTCGAGCTGTGGACAACTGAGCCCCTTTCAGAAGGTCCCTACCTATTTTATCCTATGTTCCGCTCCAAGCGGGATTTCTCGGAGAAATTGGGCTTGCGCCGGTCTTCCATTCATCACGTCTGGTTTCCGCTCTCTCTCGCCTCTCTGAAGATTTCGTCGCCTTTCATCTGGTCCATCACTCCGAGGGGTGGGCCTACCCAGGTTTTCTAGCATAGGTAGTCTAGACCAGTCGAAATTCCTGTCTCCATTGGTTGAGACTGAAGACCTATCCGCGTGCAAATCTGCGTCACGCCAAGCCCAGAGATTGAGCCAACTCTCTCTCCCCCATCTGCACCAGACAGCCAAGCCGGCTGGAAAGATGGTAGATGACGATCTGGATTCTGTGATCTCCCTTCGACGTCGCTTTGATCTCTGCTGGTTTGGCTTCAAACAATGCTTCCGGCAGGGTGACTGCCATACTTGTGAGGCATCCCCTTCACAACGCCAACTCTGGCGCAGAGCCCAGCACCATGAAACGACATTGGATCCTTTTGTCTAGTCGTTGTAGAGGCCCTCTGGACATGGTTATCAAGATTGATGCTTTGTTGGAAGTTTGCACCCCGTGGATTGCTCGTTTCAGACCACAACCCCGTCGTGGCACCACAAAAACGGCTTCTGGGGAAGAAAGTGTGCGACCACTTGTGGTCGCAGCGTGTAGGGACGACATATCACAACTAAAACCATGTGTGGAAGAATCCTGGTGCTCTGATGCGGTATCCTTTGGCTTCGCTTTGCAGCCTCTACCAGCCACGCGATCTGATTCACGCGCGTCTAGCGCACATGCCGCACATGCCAATAGGGCGAAGACATACCTCAAAGAGGAGGCCATCAGTGGTTCCCGGTGGGTGGAAGTCAAAATCGACATGGTCCTGGTGGATTGCTATCAGTTTTCTACTGAAATGAGCAGTACAGTACACACAGGAAAAAAAACAGAGAACTGCCATGAAGCGTTGAAGTCATTGAACAGAATGTGTCCAAAGACCTAGAATGTGTCAACTTCCAAGTGGCACTTTTGTTGCGGGGAGCCAATTCTTCCTATTTTCTTCGGTCACTCATTGGACGGCTCAAGGAGCTAAGGCCCCCCCAAGGAGCGGTTGCCAGGCTTGCTCCCGCCAAGTCACCGAAGCTTGCGCAAATGAGTTGCGGTTGCCGGGAAGATGTGAGCATCTGCCATAACTTCTCCTCGGTCCGATGTGTTCGTGGATGCGATCTCCACCATTCCGGAGCTTGGGGGAACATCTCCGCCAATTGAGGTCCAAATGCAATTGAGCTTGGGTATATGGCCAGTAACAGGTAGTAACAGTGGATGATGATTGTTAGGTTGCAGACCTTTCTCAAAAATATTCTACCGTATTGCTGCTCATGGGACGACCTCGCTTGAGCGCCTAGGACGTTTCAGAACTCTAACGCGACGTCCGTCCCTTCGGCAGTCGGTGGCTGCCAAGTAGCTCCAGCGCAGAACCAGGCACCTAGTGATGTAGAGAGGAAGTCGTCAACTAGGTGGTGCAGAATAGGGATCAGCTGTCAACACTTGCTGAAGGGTCACCTAGCGGCTTAGCGCCCTACCCATCCTCGATCCGGGTCACGGAAGGCCTTCCGGTCGCCAATTCCCACCAGCCTTTGATTTCTCGAGTCTTGGAATCCAGATTGGTCTACATGTCATCACAAGCGCCAACAAGGGTTGCACCACCGATTTGCTTCGACACCAAGCGCCACACGCTTGGGAACAAAACGCGGGAACAACACGGGGCGTCGGATCTAGTGGGTGGGGGCGGTGGAGACGAATCCTGGAGCAATTCCCATCCCTCCCCATCCCTCCCAACAAGGCGCTCTCCAACTGTTGTCCGGCGTCATGCAAGGTGCTCTGCAGCCGCTCCGGCGCGGACATACTGCGGCGGTACTCCTCAAAAGTAGAAGAATGTACGAGGTCTCCCCAGTGGATCTCTGGGTATTGTGGTGGAGGAAAAAGAAGAAAACGGACTTGTGACATTGGATTTGGATCTGTTTGTTTCGTAGCCATAGTGCCATAGCGTTAGTTGTGTGTCCATGTTCGAGCTCCATGAGCTCCATGCATTGAAAACACTCAAGATTACAAAGTCGGTACCCCATGTCAGTTGCCCAACCACAGACTTGAGGATATGTGGGGTTCCGTTCTGTAAGATTCACTCTTAGATACCATCACATGTGCCAGGACAGTGTTTGGCTCTATGAAACACTACCGAACCACTGGGATTTCCCGATGTTTATGCCCAATTCATTGGCCAAACCAACAAAAGGAGTCCTCGGAAGCCGAATCCCCGAAAAAGGACAGGCTCTTTCCAAGTCCGGATGTCTGATTCAATGTTTGCCAACAGTTTACAATATGTTACAATCAAATAAAACTGTCTACAAGTGCAGCAAAAAGGTTGCAAGCCAAAGGCATGTCTGACCTTCTTCTCGTGCTTGAAATTGGATAGATCCAAATTGCATCCAGCCTCTCGACCAGTGCAGTTTCAATTTCTGGATATGCAACATCTTGGATGTTGACTGGCTTTCACCAAAAGACTGCTGTGGAGCATTCACAAGTTCTGATTTTTGAGGGAAGGCGAGTGTGTGCACGCAGAGAGGCTCTGGAAAAAAAGAACAAGCAAACATGCACCAATGCTTTCCACCAATACACAAGAACTGCCCCCCCCAAAAAAAAAAACCTAAACAAACGCCAAAACACTGTATAAACGTTCCAAACCGATTCTCTGGTGGCACCGTTTCGCATCACAAGAACACAAAGCGCAGGCGCTTCGCGCACAGCATCACGCGCACGCCACACGAGCCACGCCTGGGCCGTATGAGCCCGGTGCAGGACCTGGGAAAAGCACGGAAAAACGGGCCAGGCAACGGAAATGCCTTTTATAGTGGGTTTCAGAGCAGACGGCGCAATCCCCAAAAAGGTGGGTGGTTTATATTTATATATATATATATATTTATATATGGACCCCGGGCCCCGGGCTATATAAAAGACATCTTGGGGTGCCAGTGCCATCTACTCTCAATCCATTGCAAGGAAAGTGGAGATTGACCTCGTTTAAATTTGAGCTTCTTTTTTTCGCCTACCCCTAGTAGCCCTAGTATTGTTAGTATTGCTGTTCGTCAACTGGACGCCTACCAATTTCCAGCGTCGGCATACCGAGATAGATCGTCCTAAGTATATAAACGCTGTGTTCCTTCGTTAACATCCTGATGTGTGTTCTCCCCCGATAGCGAAAGCTATTGGGATACTTACTTCAAAGTACTTCAAGGGTGCTGGTGCCGCAGGGCGCCGCCAGATGTGTATGGCCACGTGCGGACTGGAGCCTGCATGCCCCTGCCACTGCTGTGGTGCTGCCCACAAATATATTTTCCTATCTGTGGTCTATGCTCGTAATATTTCCTTTCTGGAGAGCGGGTCTGACCGAGCGGAGACAGATGTGAGGGTTGGTCATTCGCCTTTGTTCGCTCGTGAGTCACCTGAAAAAAGATCTCGTCAAACATGTACATGGACACCTTGGGTCGGCTGGAAGTTCTGCCCCAATGTCAACAGCTTCGTTCATGGTGTCAAGCAAATGGCTTGGGGTGTTCACCTGACGTGTCCAAATGAGGCACGTGGTGTCTTGCGAGTCGCCATCGAAGAATCATCGAAATTGGTGTCCAACCCAAGCCCAGTGAGTGCCAGGCAGCCACTCTTTCTAAGGAACCAAGGCGACCTCCTGGTGTTGGTCTTTGGAACCACTGGTAGTTACCAGCGACCTACAGTGGTGTAGCTGGATCCACTGGGAACGATTTTCACCATCCTGGGCCCCGCTTGACCGCGGCCTTGGGCGGATCCTCCAGAATGGTGCTCTTGTGACCTGCCTCAACAGGGCCGTAGCGAAACCGTTTCGGCGAGAGATGGATGTTGTCGAACCTGTTGATATATCGCTGTTTTAGAAGCATCAGAAGCTTGAAGTCTATCACCATCAAGCACCGAGTCAACTGCGAGTCAACGGTTCAGAACCGTTTTTCAGGTCCACGCCTTGTTGGGAGTGCAGTCCTGGATCTCCGTCTGGCAGAGCACGGCACAGGGCAAAACTGAATCTATGAATCATAGAGCTTTGACATCAATCTCTGCTTGTACAGATTTATATAGCGGACCCCCAGGACAATTTTGGCTTCAATAGCTTGGAAAAAGCTGTAAAAAACAAGAATTGGTAAGTGCTTGGGGAGGGGGGGTCCGTATTTACAATATATTTATATTTACATACATACTTGTTTGCTAATAATTAGTATGACTCATCCCGCCATAGCAAGCTGTAGCCATGACAGGTTCGGCAGCTCAACCAGAAAAATGCGCCTTGAGCAATGTAGGCAAATCCTCTGGTGCTTCTTCAGATGCCTCAATTTGACACGGGGCACTAAAGATGTGACATGATGCCACATGTCTTAGGCAGCATCAGCCATCTTAAGGGCTGACACTCTCCCTGAAGCAAGATCGCAAAGCAAGAGCGCATGCTCTGCTTCAGACACTCTCCACTGCAAATTGTTGATAGTTCCGGCTACTGTTTCTGCAGCCTGCAGCCACGGTCACTGCTTCAGTCTTGCAATATGGCCTTCCCTTCCATGAAACGAGTGCACTCGCACATCCCCAGTGAGCACTTTAGCCCAAACGTCTCGCTGTCATACATCAGGACAACGAGATGTCCAGGGCATTGGCCTGCAACGATGGCAGCCTCTGGCATGATGCCCCACACACACACACGGTGCGCTAAACATGTGTAGGGCGCGCCCAACATCGGACGATAGCACCTTCTTGGCTCACCAAAGTAGCAGGAGCCGCACAGCCACAAGATCAAACGATGGGACTGAACCTCTCAAACGGTAACATCAGAAACTTGTGCATCGAATGGTTTGCCACGCACATCTTCAATTGACCTCACGCAGCAACAACCACAGATTCCTGCACATGTCATGGTCTAAGCTTCTGTCCAAGTTCAGTGCAACACTATGAGCAGCAGCATGCTTAAGTAAATTCTCTTCTCAAGGTGCTGGTGGGCCCATGACAATACGGTGCTCCCTGAAAAAGTCTTCAGAAGTTTCAACAGGTTCTTTCAACTGATTGAATGCACACTCTGTCTGATGGGAAATTTCCTTGGTGTGCCAGTCAAACCAGTGACATTAACTCGAGGGTGAGCTTGCAACCTGTTCAAAACCCCATGTGAAGTCACAGGTCTGTGTTGGTGAAGGAAAATTCTCTCCGCGGGCCTCCTGTATCCGAAAGTCTTTGACCCAGACTTTGCAAGCCAGAAGTAAACTCCAGCGGTTCATCAGGATGACCGCAATCTGGAAGCACCCCGGATTCCCACCAATCGCCAGGAAACAAAGGAAGGGCAGGGCATGGTGGATGAAACGTTCCTGTCCTGAGAAGAACAGAACAACTGCGACTCCTCGAATGTCGAGCGCATCCGGGGCAACGCGTGGTCCATAAAAGCTGAAAAAGAAAATACACATGTCGACCGGGTATATCCCGTCCCACCAGTAACAGTGGATGATGGTTAGTAAAGGCATTCCAAAGCAAATAGGGATCATCTTTTACCGACTGTTATATACTAATGGGCTAGACCCTACACATGTCACTGTCATATCATGTCGTGTGGATTCTCTGCTTCGTGGACTCAGACTCCACAACCTGACCACCACCTCGGACGACACCCAAGTGACGACAGCATGAAAGACCCGGTCGCAAACAGAAACTGAAACAAACGCGTCGGATTCTTCAACCGGTTCCAATGCCGCGCTTGGAAATTCTGAGGAATCGCCCAGTCGTGCTCAGATTTGTCGTGAGTTCCGGTGTGAGTTCTAAGTTCTATCATGTGCATGTGTGATTTCAAGACACTCAATCTATCATGTCAGGAAGCTACTTCACACGCCCCGTGTCCCATTCACACAGATCGTGTCCCGCCTGATGCAGTCCCTGAAAACTGGGAACTTCAGAGCCAAAAGGGTTGCGAAAGAAGGAGGACCGATCGTTTCCATCAGTTTAGCTAAGAAAGGCCTTTCGAAAAGGCAAATGGACAAAGAAAAAAATATCCAAAGGGCACTCAGTCGACCCGTTCGCTCAATAATGCGAGTGCCAACAGCGCAGCAACTCTTGCAACTGACATCCATCAACAAAAAAAATAGAAGCGTCTCGAGTTGACCGACTGAACCCCTGTTGAAACACCTAAAAGGCTCCTGCATACCCAGAAAGAGAGGCAAGTTGGGGCCTCGGCACGACACCGACCACGACCGTTTTCCTAGTAGCGATACCCTTTGTTGGTAGTAGCTTCTTGTTACTAGTAGCTAGTAGCGTCCTTACTCCTAGTAGCGATGCCATTTGTTACTAGTAGCTTCTGATGGCAAATGGCACCCGGTTTGATCGATTTCCGCGGAAAATGGCCGGTCTTTGGCACAAAAGGTTAGAGTACGTGGCGACCGGTGCGAGCTCGCATTGAGTGGCTGCCCTTGGGAGGGCTGTATTCGGAAACTGGACGGTTGTATTCGGAAATTTGTATTCGCAAACTACAAAACTAGATTCGGAAACTGGTACGGTTGTATTCGGAAACTGGCACGGTTGTATTTGGAAACTGGAGAGATCTCGGAAACTGCGAAGAGCAAAGCAAAACTACAGGGAGTTGACTTCTTCGCACCGCGGAGACTGATGAGCTCAGTAGTAAGTAGTGAAGGTGCTATTCATTAGTAAATCAAGTTCACTCACTGCTGTATACATGTTTGTGATTTCTGGTTTAGCTTTGTATTGTAACGCTTCTCTACCCAAACACGGCCTCTTCCCGGCTTCCATGACAGTAAAATTTTAACACCCCACCCCCTATACCCCTTCATCCCAGAGATCATCAACTTTTCACGCAACTACCCACCTATGTTTATTGCGCCCCCACCCCCCCCCAACCCACCCCCACAAATTTCACTGAATACGAAGAAGATAGTTTCTGAATACCGCGAAAGTAGTTTTTGAATACAACGAAAATAGTTTCTGAATACAACGAACGTATATAAGTCTAAATACAACGAAAGTATATAGTTTCTGAATACAACGAAAATAGTTTCTGAATACAACGAAATAGTTTCTGAAT